ATTTAAAAATATAGGAGATACATTCTAATAACAAAAGAGCTTTAATTTAGAGGAACAGAGAGGAGCTGCAACTTTAATGTCCCCAAAGATGGATAATCGACTTCTTACTGTTGTCAAAAATTCGATTATTTTGCGTTCCAACCAAAGGTGTCAAAGGATTGAGCCTACTGCATTGCTCCAAAGGATCAAGCGCCTAGATTTGGAACCTTTCGAGCCTCTGTAAACATGTCGAATAAAGATGTTTTAACTTTTATTTTTTTGTATTTAATAGGTTTGAGATCTATTCAAAATTTTAAAAAAAAAAATTTGGATTGAATTTTGTGTCAAGTAGGACTTGTAGGCGCCTTTAAATTTTGTGTTTGGCGGGTTCTTTAAATTTTGAAAAATGTTGTCTAATGTATTACCTAAATTTTAAAAGTTCGAGAATTTGTTAGATATTTTGAAGTTGAGATCTATTCAATACAAAATTGAAAAGCCTTCTACAAAATTATTAGACATAATATTGAACTGTGTTGCATTGTAAACTTGTAATTAATTTGACATTTATTAGTCTGATGTGCATGTGTGTGAACTGTTTGAGGTTGTTTTGAGCATGCTTTTTTCCTTGTCCAAATGAATATTAATTTCTGAATATGGACAGAGTTTCATTAATGGCTATCTCCCAATTTCCACTCGTTCAAATCTTCTTCACATTAATAATTCACACTGTGATCAAACAAAGTGATTTTATATGTACAGCTGGACTTTGTACTTTCTTTTCATCTCATTTTCATGATTTAAAAGGAGGGAAGTATAAAATTAATATAATGACTAAATTATATATGTGTTGTGTCTTCGTTGGAGTGCTCATGAGTTAGGTTGAGGTATTTGAGTTGAATTGGTTCGGATTATTTGGGTCACTAGTTCAAAATTTTGTATAACAAAAAAATTTAAATATTAAACATTTATTTACCTATTTTTTAACCTTTGAATCAAAGTATGTAAATCTATGTTTATTTATATGGTAGAAAATTATACTAAAAAAACTTAAAAAGTTATCTTAAGGAGTTGTTGAATAATAATCATAAAGAATTATTGAATGAACTGAAATTAAAATAAATATAACTATATATATAATTTTTGGTAATTGAAATTGTTTTAAATTTAATAATAAGTTTGAGTTTGTTCGGCTTTCAAATTTATGTTTCTAAGGGATTTTTCTTTATTTTATGTATTTTTAGATGTGTAGCAAATTTATAAATTGGATCTTAATTTTAAAAAGTTCTTAACGTGTGGTTAGCAATCTATTTGTAAGTTAGTTAGCAAGTTTCATCTAAAATAATATTAATTAATTTATTAGCATTTTTGTTATAAATTTTGTATAATCATTATTTTACCATGTTGTATAATTTATAATATATTATATTTTATATGTTTTAATTTTAACAAAAATGAAATGAGTTTATAACATACAACAATATATTTATCCAAAAATTTTGTAATTCTGCATTTTAAAATTTCAAATTCAAATTCAAATTTGAAAATACTGAAGACATAATTAAAATGTTTTTTTATTCAGAATTCTTTTGATTGAAGATATATGTCAATTACAGTTAAGCTGTATATTTGCTTTGGCAGAATTTTGAATCACATAATACGAAAATAATTTTCAAAATCAAACATCCGTCAACCACTGATAAATGCATATTCACTTAATCAATTTAATTCAGTAAATGTGAAAATTAAAATTTAACCGCACTCTTTATTTATATATATAATTTTTTTTCAAACATATATATATATAAAAGTTAGTGTAGAACAAGTTTTATATGGAAGCCATACACATGCACAAAAATATGAAATTAAAAAGGTGACATAGGAAGCAATCATTACAGAAAATGCAAAATTTATCAACATTATTATTTTTTTAATCACCCTAAATAAAACAAGTGGGGTTTGAATGACATGAAAAATACAGACCATGGATTTGAACAAAGGATTTTGTTTGGCCTACAAGAATCCTCCAATCCAATCTTTTGCAACGTGTGACCCGCACGTGTGGGGTCACCCCCTTCTTCCTTTTGGCTTCATTATTTTTCCTGAGAGGCATGCGACTCATCAATGGGACCAATTGGCGCCACTATACCAACCAAGCTTTTATTCTCACACACCTTTCTATTTTTCTTTTAAAGTTGATGTTCAACAACGTGAGGAGGCCGAGATTTGAACTCCGATAAAATAAATTATTTAATCAATTGAGTTATGTTTAAATTGGTTACATACCCATAAAAACTCCCTTCATTATTTTTTATTTAACCCTAATTAAATTAATCTTTGCTTTAGTGGTTAAATAACATGATTTAGTCCCAACCCACCTAACCCGGGTAGCAATTAACATCACCAAGCTAAAGATCATGCAGACCAACCCACCTTTTTACTAAAAATTAAAGTGATGGTATATAGTTTTGAGGAATATGAATAATAATCTTGTGAAGACAAATAGTTAATTTTACAATGATATATGACATTTTGTCCATTTTAGGTCAAAATCCACGAATTCATTTTTAATTTTTTCGAGAAGTCTCGTACTAATGAAGATGTTGTTGCCGTTGATGCACCCAACTAATTAATTAAGATTTATTGCCTTGTTTATTACCTTTCCACGTCCTTTGATAACTATTTTATTACTTTTCCACCTCTCTCGAAAACATATTTTAAATAGAGGGTAAGAAAATTAGAAAATTATATTAGACTCTAAAACGAGATCTTGCAAAAGAACCAACCGAATTAAGTCCCTAAGTTTTCGAGTGACCATAATAAACTGTCCTTTATCAAATTCCCAAAAGTAAAAGAAGGGAATATATTTGAAATAGCTCCCCAACAAAAATTTAAAAACTTTTTTTTTTCTTTTCAAAATCCAGCCTATATTTTCAGTTGAAATAACTGATTAGTGGGAAATATATGGACTCTCAGTTGTGTGCAGAAAATTTTCACTCGTTTTGGAGTTGATAATATAGACACACACATTACACATATATCTAGTAACGTAACTAGAAATTTAGGTTTTATATATATTATATTGGAGATTAATTTGTAATTAGCCCCTTTTTTTTTAATTGCGACTGATTTGTTGTACGGTTACAATTGAAACAGAGCATGTTGTGGCTTTAAAACGATTGATTTATCAGATTAAACCTACTCAACGTAATGACATCCGACCAACTTAATTAATTAGCACCAATTTGTTTAGAAATTAGACAAAAGCCACTGTTTGGTTTGTGTTTTTCCATTTAATTAGCTGAGGGGTTATTAGAACTAACCTACTGATGATGTAATGTGTGATCTCCTGTGTTTCCCAAAATATATGCTGTATTTCTGTATACATCCCTTGTTTAAAATTAGTGTAGCAAAACTTTGATTATCCTAGGATTGCTGAAGACACAATTTGAAATCTTCAAGAGATTTTTTGAGACGATTTTTAATCGAAACAAGTCTAGACCGAGATGAAAATGATGTGTTTAATGTAAGGCTCGAAACATAGGTGAAGGTTGTTAATAAGGATTCCACATAAAAGGGATATTGCATAGGTTTATAATAGACATGACTACTCTTCTCATGATCAATTGATTTTGAGATGGAACCCATGAATACTAATATGGTATCAGAGCCCAAAACACTCAAATGAGCTTCCGGTCCAAAGAAATTAGATCCGATCAAGATTGATGAGGCAAAAAAGCCACGATCTTAGAAGACATGTTAAGGATCCACAAAAAATGGACTTCGGCATAGGTTTATAATAGACATGAGCTACTTCTCTCATGACCAATTGGTTTTGAGATAGAACTCATGAATATTAATAAAGGTAATTAACTCGGTATCAAAAAGAAGTATGCCCTTAAAAGATTAAAATTTAGGTAATAATAAAAAATATACATATATGCTATTGATGTATTTTTTTTCTTTTTTTATTTAAACCACACAGTACATAACGGGAGACCGAACTATCGACTTTTAATTGCATTTTTATGGGTATGTTTTGAGAAATGGACAATCACAATTGACATACTAATTAAATTTTAATCCAAATTCTCTAAACAACACTATCTTAATACTAATACCAATAGTACTAATTTCTCTTAATTTTAAAGATTAGTTCAAGAGGTGGGGTTTTTTCTTCTCTCATCTATGAGGCAATTAAATGATTAATCACTTTTACCATCAACGTGAGGTAATTAACACGCCTTATATCATACTTCCTAAGAAAATAACTTGAGTGTTACTTGAGTCAAATTTTGATAATTGTTGATTAATTTTTTTATTATTATCCACAAATTATTACGAATAGTTATATTATCTCTTTAACTAACTATTTTAAAATATTATTAAACTTTATTGTCATGAGTGTTTTTGTCACATTGATAGAGCTCCAAATTATAACAAACAACCCACTAAGTACTCTTAAAGAATATTTTAAAAAAATGACATAAAAATAAATTCCAAAAAAACTGCCTAATATATACCAAAACGAAGAAAATAACACTTTTGCCAATTGCTCTTAAAAAAGTAAAAGAGATAATAAAAAACATGGAGAAGACAAAAATAATAATAATAATAATAAATATATTGAATAATGATGTATTTTGAGAGTGTTGTAGTTACAGAGGTATCTATAGAAACTTTTAGATACTTTTAGATTTGTAGAATCATAATACAAAAATTAATTAAAAATGATTTAATTTCTTGAAGATCATTTTCACCAAACACGTGCATAAATATAAATAAATACATTATATATATATATATAGACTGTCTGCTCATTAATTCACTTAATTAGCCAAAATTTTTGCAAGGACAATTTACAGACAAGAGGGAGAAGTATTAAAGTTACAAAAGAAAATCTGCACAGAAAAATTTGAACAGTGAATAGACCACTCAACTACAAATCATATCATATCAACCACGAAAAAGGAAGAAAAAAGAAACCCCAAATCACATTTATAAATGTATATTCACTACACACACTAATAAAAGGCATCATAATCATAAACACTATTAGGGCTTCTTTTTCTTTTGGTTGTCTGCCATTTTTGCAAGCTTCAGATCGAGCCAGAAGCCAATATCATGAGTAGAGGTGGAAGCTATGGCGGTGGAAGAAGCTCCTTAGGCTATCTGTTTGGAAACGATGATCAGCCCACAAAGCCTCAGGTTTCTCGAGTGATTCTTCCTCCTCCTTATGGAATTGATATTAGCCCTGATGATCAAAGTAATAATCCTTCTCCCTCTCCAAAACAACTCGTCTCCAACAATTACCCTCGCGCTCACGGCCAAAACTCCGGAAACTTCTTAACGGTACGTGAGGATTTCAAAAGAATTTCGTTGTTTGTTATCTTATTCCAAATTTCAAATTAGGTTAAAAAGAGGTCCAATTTAGCAGGATCTCATACAACTTTCTTTAAAACTTTCTTTTAAAGAAATATCATGGATGGGGCTAGAATCTTTGAATCATCCCAAACGGAGGACCGTCGTAACACAAATTTGTTAACGATATTTGTATGTATGTTTGTGGTGAATCAGGATCGTCCATCAACCAAGGTGAAATCTGCTCCGGGTRGTGATTCATCGCTAGGGTACCTGTTTGGAGATAAGTGATTCATATATTCATATGATCAGAGCATTTATTTCTTCAGATTTACTGTCTAGCTAACTTTATATATTGAAACTTGAAGGCAATTTCTAAGGGTGTGCTTTTTCTTAGTATGTGTATTGTGTGGTTTCTAAATAAAAAAGGGTACACAATTATTATGTACCCAAAAGAACATATAGCTAGCTTTGGATTTGTGTGTAGCTGATGTGTATACTTTGGTGCAGTATAGTTTGTGGAATATATATTAAAACAATCTGATGCTTCTAGTAGATATATATAATATGTATTGAATATCATCATGACTTATAGTTTTATTATGTAAAGTCGTACAGTAAGGAAATAAACAAATGGGAGTATTTTTTACTGTCTTTTTTCTCCCTTTTGTTTCTCTAATTCTCAGATCTTTTATTAAGGATTGTTCTTAAAGATATTTTTTGCCCAGGCTTAGATTATATATATTAAACCCACTTTCAAATGGATGTCCAATTCTTCTTTTATTTTTTTTGGAAGGAAGATCACTTAATTGATGTATGTGAGAAACATACACAAACAAAAGAAAAAAGAATGAAGGCTTAAACAAAAGCACTCGGAAGATCACTTCATTGTTGTTCAATTCTCTCCACTTGCCTACATAGAACTGAATTAATAATCTCTTTGTCTTCTCCCATATATTATATCGATTTTGATGAAAAGTATTATTGGATCAAATGTTCATGTTTTTCAATATATATAATAGTTTGGATTTCAAACATGAGGGGTTATAGATTTGTTATAGGTTATCTGTGTGGAAGGGTTAAAAGTCAGAACGAAAATAATGAAATATTAGTTTTTATTCTCCTGTTTGAGAAAGTTTGTTGTGTGAAGCAGAGGCCTAATCGTCGGGGAAAATTTGTCAAAGTTGAAAATATTTTGTTCTCGGAATCTGATTATGAAGTTATTAATTGAGAAAAATGAACAAAAATTCATCATTTGGTAATTGGTTTACTAGGTTTATAAATGTGTTGAAAATTGTACCATTCTACCTGCTTTTGAGGTAAGTCTCACTTAAACCAGGTGGTATAGTTTGAGATTCACATTGGAAGTTATGGTTTCAGATGGCTTGAGTTTGAATTGGGACAGAAGAAATAAATTTAATTTCAAAGTATTGAATCTGTGCTTAGTTTACTTGTTTGGAATTTATAAACATTAATGTGTAGTGATAGTGGTGGGTTATACAAATTTTGTGATTAAGTAAACTGACATACACCAAAACGAGCATAACTCAACGGTAATTGGCATATACCTCCAATCATGAGGTTGTAAGTTCGATCTCTTACCCCACATGTTGTACTAAAAAAAAAAAAAGTAAACTGACATGCTAAATATAATTAAGCTCGATTTTTAGATATATGAATTCATCCCATGCTCCCTAATTTTTTCTATTAGAGTATTTTTATATAGCCTCTTCTTTGGTATGTTACTCACCTACCTATTTGAAAAAGAAAAAAAAAATAATTCTTTGTATGATGCATTAAAATAGCACTGTTGGGTACTTATTTAAATAAGAAATACATCAATGGGCACCCCCCTTTAGTTTACATGTGTAGTGTTTTGTGGACACATTTCTTAAAGCATTACATATTATTTTGTTAGACTTGGCATATAAAGAAGATGTCTAATAATATTCAAGATTCTATGTTGTAAATTAAAGTTAATTGTATATTTTGGAGAGTCTCGTATCATTGTTAACTGCTTTATTTCCATTAATCAACACGCTTTTTTTATGATCACAAAATTAGTTCTTGTACTTTCAAAAAGTTAATTTTGATATATCTATGCTTTTTACTCTGGTTCATTTTAGTCTGTGTACTTTCAAAACGTATATTTTGATTCATTTATTTTTAAAAGTGATAATTTTGATCCTTTCATTTTCATTATCTCTTTGATCATAATTTTAACATAACTCTTCACTCCCTAATTTCTTGAAATGTAGCCATAAATTCATTTGACTTTTGTTTAATAACGCATTAGAAACAAAGAAATAAATGGTAGGATAATGGCCCAAACATTACTTATATTGTCTACATTTTGTGTTTACACACACAAATAGAATATTATTGCTATATTATTACAAAAGTTTGTGAAATCATATGTAGAGAGAAACAGTCGTGAGTTTTTTTAACATTCAAAAGTGCTGTTTTAAAAAAGAGAGAATGAAAATAATGATGAAACTCAACCTTCTGCGGAGAATGTAAGTAAAGAGCCAACAAGCTATGTCCCATTACAATTAATAAACAAGTAAACAATTTTTTCTGTTTTCTTTACATTTGTTTGTACTCGATTCTCTTCATTAATTTGTCCATGGAAGGAGGCAAAATTTGTCGTAATTCAAAAACTGTATTTGGAATATATACCGAAGATCTTGTAAATTTGTTCGTTTAATATTTCTGGCTTCTGAAGATTTAACTTAGAATTGAAAGATTATATTGTAAAATGTGTTCCCTTTCTAAAAAGGGCTTTTAACTCTGCTAACTAATGCGATATGTTATAATACATCTTTTCATATTTTCACCTCGGTATAATATTATATATTTTAGATTCAATTGTCGAAGCAAATGTCCCGATAAACTTTTATTTGCACTCTATGTCGCTAACCCGTAGTGGATAGCGTTAACGAGTTTTCTGTTCTTCTTCTTTCAAATTCTGGTCTTGTTTCAATTTTAGTTCTTCGGTTGAGTTCGTCATTTTGATTTACAAATTTTTTCCAATCTTTTCTTGGTTTCTTATTCACGTCTTATTAACCTCCTGACTCGAGGAACACGCAACTCCTCGAACCCGAGTTTACTGAGAATCTTATAGGGGGCAAACCAGAGACGGATGACCATATGGTCACAACCTTACTAGCACCAGAAGTTTACTAATCAATGAACCCCCGAAACCGACTTTCTTTTCTGACAAAATCAACCCAACTTAATCGGTCACACCATGTTGTTGATATTGATGCACATACAACCATCAAACCAGAGACTAAAGTTGGACTCGACAAAATAGAAAGTATCATGGTACGTCGTCCTTCCCTGATATGTGGAACTTTCATACTAGAGCAAGAACTAGCATGAATTTGATCTATTACGACCAGTACAGTTGTTCGTATTTCATTTTCTTCTTCCAAATCAAGCCCTTCTTAGAAAGCAGTACTTGTTGAGATCGATACATACAGCATTTTCTTTGACTCATACTTCGGAGAAGAACGTTCTTTGATTGAGTTTAAAGTCGTTACCTTGCGGGAGCCAACTAGGTGAGACAGCACCTCTTTTTCATTCACAGAGAAATTCTATCGTCAAAATTCATAAAAATGCCATTACGAACTAAGATCCAAATAGATTAATATACAGATTCGTGCTCTGAATCTAAATCACGAAATGAAAAATGCTAGTGGCGGGTCTGCGCTGGGCATGCCCCTCTGAAATTAAGTAAAATAAAATATATTGTCAACACTTGTTCGCAAAGAAGTTCTTCACCTGTTCTTTTCTGCTCCTGGGCATGCATAATCTTGACCCTTGTACCACGCCAACGTTTTTTAATTCTCATTTTTCTTTTATTCTTTTCATTTTAATTTTTTTAATTAAAAAACATTTTGAAATTTTATTATTTTTAAATCTTATTTTCTTTTATTCTTTTTAACTTTCATTTTTTAAATTAAAAATATTTTGAAATTTTATTAATTTTATTTAAAGTAAATAATTAAAAAAAATTATAAAGGCAAATTATATTAAAAAAAAAAAAAGATCTCACCCCCGAAATCAAGCAACTTCCCGACCATGTAGTACAACGATAATAAACCTCACCTTTCAAAGCACGTAAGAAGACAGAACGCGACCGACCTATCCCAACCAATCACCACAACAACGAGCAGACTTTCAAGCACTAATGTGACAAATCCAAGCAAATTCAGTAGAATCCGATGAGAAGAATCAGCCCAAGTAATTATGTCACACTTGTATAAATAATTAAAATTTTATACGGCTATTGTATTTTGAAAAAATTAATATCAAATTTCGTATACCAAATAAAGAGAGGATCAAAATCTAAACTCATTTATATATTACAATTTCCCAAAAGAAAAAAAATCTTTCAAATTTATTTTCAACTTTTACCGACCGTTTAGTCCAATCCTGTTCGCGTCCCAAGCCTTGAAATTTTACCACTGACAAGAATCGCCAGCACCAAGAAAACCGACCTTAGTGATGAATCACATACTCCCAAAACTCAAAATTCAGAACCAAAATTTGACATGTCTCTACAATAATCCATAACTCTTCCACATTCCTCCACGTTTCACAATTCCCCTCTCTCTCTCTGAAACCAAAACAAAAATGAGAACAAGAAAAACAAAAAAACAGAGAAATCCATTCCAATCTTCA